CAATTATCGCCACAGTGGCTAGCCTGGAGAAGAACAAGATCACAGCAGTTCTTTGTCCGCTCAAGTCTCTCCTGATCGACTGGTCTCGTCGACTTCGAGCTATGAACATTCCTTTCGAGGTCTTCAGTCGTGACAATCCTACCATCACTGGCCAAACTCCTATCATTCTTGCCTCCCTCGATGCCACTGTCCGCTCCTATTGGCGACGTGCCGTTGCTGAGCTTCGTTCGGACTTTCAGCTCAACCGTCTAGTGGTTGATGAAGCTCATCTTCTGCTCACTGAATCCACCTACCGTGATGTTATGAATCATGTCAAGGAGCTTCGAGAGCATCGTGTTCAGATGGTCTTACTCTCTGCCACCATTGCTCCTAGTTCTATATCCGATCTTCGCTCTCAGGCCAATCTGGCTAAAGGCCTCCTAACTGACATCATTCGAGCTTCTTCCAATCGTCCTGAGCTTTGCTTTCAAACTCCAGTTCCTTATGAGAGCTTCGCCGAGGTACGTTATATTTTTAGCTAGCATTTATAATCTTCTAATATTCTTTGAAGAGTCTCGATAAGATCACCAATCGCATCACTAGCAAAGTCAACTCCTACAAAAACTCGCCTCACCTTCGTGCACTTGTCTTTGTTCAAAGACTAGCTCATGGCACACGGCTAGCACGGGAGCTTGGCTGCGACTTCTACCGAGGTAGCTCTGATGACACTATATCAGATGCTCAGAGAGAAGCTATGACCCAGCGATGGCTGTCTGGTCACCATCCAGTTATGGTGGCTACAGATGCCTTTGGTCCTGGAAATGACTATCCTCATGTTCAGGATGTCTTTCTAGTTGGCTCTCCTCGTGGTGTTGTCGACTTCCTGCAGATGGCTGGGCGTGGTGGCCGCGATGGCAACAGAGCTAGCATTGTGGTCTTCTCTCTTGGCGACACAGTCCCTATCCCCTCTGCTGCTGACAGACATGTTGGTAGAGCTGAGCTGGAGCCTTTGATCAAGAATCCGCACCTCCGCTGCTGGCGATCAGTGTTCTGTAAATTCCTTGATGGAGTTGAACATCGCTGCATCCTCAATCCGTACGATTGGCTATGCCCATCATGCATGAAGCATGCACCCGCAGACTATACGTATCCAGCTGCTTGGATGGGCCCAGATGGAAAACTTCAGAAGGCGAAGACTCTCTCCCCGAACCTGATTCCAGTAGAGCCGGTTCTATCCCCTGTGCTTGTTGCGAAAGGCCGTGCTCGTGCTCCATCATTCCTATCACTGTCTTCGACAACACCTGTCAACACCTTTAGTGGAGCTACTCTATCAGCTGGAACTGCATTTGATGGACCTATGCAGGTGTCGAAGAAGGCACGAGAGGTGGTGGATATGGAGGACAAGGAGGAGGTGGATAGGATGTGGAGGGCGATTCGTGTGTTTGAGGGCCGGTGCTCTGTATGCCAGCTGTTGCGACCTGAGCAGCGGGCTGAAAAGCATGCGGTTATGCACTGTCCGGTGATGGTGGAGCTTCTAAAGCAGACGAATGGTAAGAAGCACCGGAGTGGGGACTATTTGGATTGGAGGTCGAAAATCCAGTATGTGAAGGGAACGTATGTGTGCTACAAGTGCCACATACCTTTCTTCCATGACCGGGTGCATCGAGCGAAGGTGGGGAAAGACAAAGGGTGTCTGAAGGAACATGATGATATGGTGGCGCCGTTGGTTTGGGCTATGTATATGGATGATGGACTTCGGAAGTGGCTTGAAGGTAGAATTGGGATGAGGTGGGGGGATGATTTGGAGTATAGGCAATGGGTGTGTGATATGTCGTTTGAAGTGGTTTCAGGGCAGGTTATTAGGGAGAAGTTTACTAACATGTGCAAGGTGTTTATATTAGTTGCAGAGTATTTGTTAAGTAGGCAAAAGTAGATTAGTTGTAATTGTTACTGTGTTATTGTATGATAGAAGATGGTGATAGTTGATATGTGAATTGAAGTGGTTGAATTTTGTACAGAATTAATTTTAGTGATGTGTTGCAAGAGTTGTTAGGTGGGAGGTGTAGTGTTACTAGTTGTTGTTAATGAAAGACAGGTGAAAGCTATAGGGTTTTTGTTAGTTAGGTGCGAGTTTGTTTAATGTTTAACGGAGGACAATGAGAGTAGCTAGGGTTAGGGAGGGAGATCGAAACCGAGCGAAGCGAGGTGAGATCGACCGGTTAGGGTTGAGGGTGGGTTAGGCGAGCTGAGTCAACGGGGGCGTTGTGTGCTACAACGTCCCGTCCCGTTTCGCCTTTTATAGCTCATCAGGACTCTGCTTAGTGCATCCCTTTCGGGAAGTGCTTATCTCTTTGCCGTCTGTCTATCCGACGGCACAGGAGATAAGGTCAATTATGCTTACGGTGCCGAACGCGGCCGGAGCTTTGTTCCGATAATGACTAAGTCCGGTCGGACTATGTCATCATGATTACTTACTTACTAATCACCGATCGGACTTAATCTTATCGCAATTCTAAGCGCGTATAGCGCTTAGATAAGATAGTCCGCCCTTATCCTTATCTTATC